AGAGAGAGAGAGAGAGAGAGAGAGAGAGAGAGAGAGAGAGAGAGAGTATCAGCGAGTGTTGCTGTGCGCCACGGCGTAGCCGTGGCCGGGTCCACTTGTTATATATATGCAAGGAAAATGAGCGATAGCGAAATGGCGGCAATCCAGAATGCAAAATCACATTGAAAGCCAGAAAGGCCAACGCTGTCCAGAAAGCAAAATGCACTGATATTCCACCAATGGAGAACCAAAGTACTGAATCAGAATGTCAATGAGAGCATACTCTTGCCACCACCAACAAATGTATCCAGAATCCTTCCTCCTACTTGGCGCTCAGCGCCCAGACTACTACTCCACAGCTACTAGCAGCCTACAAATTGCCAATGCATCCGGTTGACGTCAGCAGCAACAACCGAAGTGCATGAAAACGTCAACCTTGTATATATATTGTCACAATGTGAATCAGAGCGCGAAGGCGAAAAATGCAAAACAAGGAGAGGAAAAGAAGGAAGGAAGGAAAGCCCCACCTGTTCATCACCTCTTGCGTACAAGGCCAGCCACGTGGATGACAGGTTGAGCGCTGGCTGCCCCCATCCCCGTGTGTCACAAGGACCCACTTGCACGCAGCCAAAAGGCAAAAAAGAGGTAAAGAAAAGGAGGAAAAAAAAAACTCACACAGGCAAGAGAAAGAGAAAGGTAAAAAAAAAGACGAAGGAAGAAAGCAAATGACACATCCCACAGATAAACCAACTGCCACTATCACTACAAAGTTCAACATATTTTTTTCTTTTTTTCTTTTTTCTTGTTTTCTTTTTTCTTTTCTCCAGAAATTTGTACTTTTTTTCTTTCTTTCTGTTATCTGTCCTACAATTAGTGTTGCTCCTGATTGCTTGATTCTATTCACCAGTCAGGAAGAGGAGCCCCCACCTCGGCAGATAGGACAGACACGCTGAGGATGACGTGGATGTTCACAGGGATACCCAAGGAGAGCTACTTCRGCACAGCATTCAGCAGGACGGCTAGCAMGGACCATCCCATCAAAACAGTCCTGACAAAGGACATGCTGTCCACATGTCAAAAAAACAGCAGGACGTTCATCACAGTGCGGCATCRTGCAGTCCTGATAGCGTCCTTGAGCACAAAAGGGACAACGAATATCTGGGTGATATATTGTCAAACAGAGCTGCACGGTAAACCGTAGGCAGAGAAGGAGAAGAGGACAACAAACGAGGGGCTGTGTGTCATATATATATTTCACCAACAAATGTCACTCGTATTCAATATATGCTGGGAAGCGGGCCCAGTGTCCCTTACGTCTTTGACGGCAGTCGTGCTGCTGAGCAAGACACTCCGGCCAAGCAGAACCCTGACCGCAGTATCACAAGCAAATCATTGAAATCATCCAACCAGCTCATTTCGTAAGCAATTTCGATGTGACCCTGAGGCAAAGGCATCACTTTCTTTTTTTCAGATTCCTTTTTTTTTTGCTGGGACCTTCTTTGGCCCCTGCATGGCCAGGCTGCCCGGGCAAACAAGGTGACCCGGCCGGCCAGGGTGGTAGCCTGCCGGTAGCTCCATACGGATTCGAAGTTCGAACTCATTGTTTACAACTTTACAGCATAATAATCACACACTCCATTTCTCCCAGCACCTTTCACCAGAGTCCAAACTCAGTCCCACTATTTCACATGACTCTGCCAATGATGTCCCCTTTTCTCCTCTAAAAATGATAATGAGGAATTCAACTGCATTTCGGAAACACATGCAATGCACAGAATTCACCAGGAGACGCGGGAGATGAAACGAAGGTCAGCAAGAGTACACAAAGAAAAGGAAGGAAGTGTGCGTATGCCTTCATGTATGTGAGAGGGGGGGAGGGAGGTGCACGAGGAGTGGAGGGGAGAGAGAGAGAGAGAGAGAGAAGAAGAAGAAGAAGAAGAAAAGGGATAAAATGGCATGATACCCAACTGTTAACAGCTGCCGGAAGCGTATAGTCAACAACAATCAGATTGGGGTATTGCTCTTGCACTTTGTCCATGACTGATAGTCTGTCCTCGGCACCAATCACCTCCACATCAACGTCTCCGACGATAACATGACGCCCCCCCAGCTTAGGGCCTGTAATTGCGAATGGTACAAGCTGCAAGCCCCTCGCAAGTGCTGCGGTAGCCACAGCATTCCCCATCTTTCCTGAGACATCGTTCACCTGGAAGACTCGCCAGTAAGAAAAACGCCAGCAAGAACACGCCAAAAGACCCGCAGAATTTCGCCAAACGTCAGGCATTCGCCACGATCAACTCAACTGTAAACTCCATTTGCTAAATACCACCTAAATGTCGGGTCTTCAGAATTTCACAGCAATCCTTTAAAGAACAGCCCGGAGGGGCAAGCCAGGAGAGAGTCCATCTGTACACAACCTGACCAGGACAGAGTCCAATTGTGCAAAATAACTAATCGGGTAGCAATCGCCTAATAGCTGGGCTTACTTGGCTTACCCGGCCATGCCCCCGCACAAGTTGCCCGAGTGGTCACCTACACGGGGCACCCCGTGCAGGCAAAAATCCACTTTTTTTGTGGGGGCCAAGGGGGGGGGCAAGGGGGGGGCGAAGGCGTTCTGCGCATGCCCCAAGGAGCCCCAATCCAGGCTCCTTTTTTTTTCAAGTGTTGGCTGTCAAGGGGGGGGCGGGGGGGGTATAAATTGGTTTTTAAGGGGCTAAAGAGGTCTAAAGGGGATTGCCTTAGTCTGATTTTGTGTTTTCCTTTTTCATATCTCCAATTCCATGAGGAATTCTGATGTGACCCTCAGCCAAAAGTCTTTTGAATTGCAATTCTACGCTTCTTCTTTTTTCGCTTCTTTTTTTTTCCTTTTTTTTTTCTTCGGGTGCTGGGGCGGCCCGGAACACAGCCCGGGGTTCATGCCCTGCTGGGCACCCGCGCATGTATCCCGGCACAAAATGGGGGCGCAGACGTCCGGCCAAACAGCCTAGCCTAATAGGTTATATATCTCTAAGTTATGTGGCATATAACTATACAGTGTTATTGAAAACCACCTCCTATGCTAAATGCTTACGACACCATCTGGCCTAGCCCAGCCTGGCGCCCAAATAAGACAGAAAAGGCATGTGGAGACATCTGTTCAGCCCAGAATTAAAAAAATCAGAAGGCGCCTTCATACGGACCACGCAGCATAGAGCGCCAGCTTGCTCTCCTTGAGCTCAAGTGGCAGCGGTAACAGACAGGTAAATAAAACAGAGCGCAAAGGCACCATCATACAGGCGCTTGCTCAATGCCCCACAGAAGCTAGCATGGCTTACCCAATGAAAAGGGGTGCATAAAAAGGGGGGGAAGGGGGGAGGGGGTGCATAAAAAGGGGGGGTGCATAAAAAGGGCGGGGGTGCATAAAAAAGGGGGGGGTGCATAAAAAGGGAGCGTAGAGGCACGATAGGGCCTGCATTCTTATTATTTCGACGTTAGATATTGCAGTATTACGAGAAAGGGCACGAAATCGAGAAAGGGCAGGAAATTGATGAGGGAGTGTCCGACAAAAAGAGTAAGGGGGCGGGGGGGGGCTAGATCAGCATTGTTGACTTATTAAGCTTCTGTGAAGTTCTGTCTATTCTCTGCCCTCCAAACTGCTCTAGTTTTCATCCTGAAAATGAGATAGGAGTATATCAGCACTGTTCTTCCGGACATCCCTTAAAATTGGAACAATACAGAGAATGAAGATTAGCATGGCCCCTGCACAAGGATGACACGCATAAATCGAGAAATGGTCCAAATTAAAAGGGAGGGGGGAAAAAAAGCATATCAGCATTACCCTGCAAATTGCCAGGCTTCTCTCCTGTCAACATCAGGGTTAACGGCATTACGGGGGGGGGGGGGTAAGAAAAAAAGAAACAATGATAATATTCGAAAAGATGAAATGAAATATGACGAAGTGACGAATCGTGATAATAAACGACACAAAAGAAAAGTTAGAGCTTACAAAAAACAGCCGTCTTGGGTCAGAACGTAGAAGCTTACCATGATGGGCACAGAAGCTGAAAGATCAAAAGACTTGCTCTGTTGAGTTTCGACGGATGATGCAGTGGCACCTGCTGACGACGCCTTGGCCATCACAGGACTGAGGGGCTTAGCAGAAAACAGATTTCCAGCATGATGACAACTGCCTCTGCCTTGGATCGACCTTTCGCCAGTCCACAAAGAAGTTTCCGACAGCGACCACCTTGTCCTCAGCTGTCGCGCCACGCAGGGTGTGTAGCCAAGACAGCAGTCCGCAATCCGCTTGTTTCGCGCGCACAATCCGTGGGCCAGCGGCGCGCTGCTGCAAGATGACTTCTTCACAGCCACATGATGACCAGACGCTCCGGCGGCAGCAAGCGAGAGAGACGAAATTGATGATGTGGAAGAGGCAACCGCCACCACAGCTTCCATTGTCCGCGACACAATGTTCACGTCTTCGATGCAGAAAATCTATGTATGAGACCTGCAATAGGATGGAAGAAGCTGCTGCTATGGTCAGAGTTCCGCCGTGAGAAAAGAAGAGAACACCAAGGCGTGAAGGTCGTGGGTTCTATTCTCACGTCGTTCACAGTGGCCCGTTGTGGCATGCTTCGGGTTCACCAGCTGAGAATAGTTGGCTTGCCCCTTCTGGTTGGTTAGGAGGTAGCTGGGGAGTTACCTTCTAATTGATATATTTTAATCTATATTTTATATAGAATAGACAATCAATATATAATAGTAAAATAGATTTACCAGAATAGAGAAATTAGATAATCTGTGAATAATAAACTCGAATAATAAAATAAATATGCATCAAAATTAGAAATCTGAATATTGGATTAAATTCAATTCATTGATTATGATTATCACTAGTCTTCAAACACGCGCCAGGTGTTATTTGCAGCAGTGCTTAGGCACGGGCTGAGGTCGGCGTCAACCCATAACTGCAACAATCAACGACTCCGAGCTGCACTTAGACAGGAGATTAGGTAGCGTGAGGCATATGAGAGAAGAAAATAGCTTACTTTGAAAAAGGAAAAAAACAAGGACAGGTGCGGGCCTTGCTGACGCCTTGCCAAGGGGCTCACCCCTCACACAGATGAATCTGATCCACAAAATGATTGCCTCTGCTTATGGAAAGGTAAAAAGGAAAAAGTACAAAAATAAATATCATGCGCAATGGGCATTCTAAAGCGCGCATGACTGTGCAGACATGTATACAATTCAACACTCAAAGTAATGACGTAAATGATGATAAAAATTAAAAAATCATAAAATTACATAAATATATTCTATGCAAAAAGTATCCCAACTTCAGACCCGGGAAATTAAAAAATATATATATAGCTACCCAAAAAGATAACCCAACCCCAGTCCCAACAACCTCACTCATTCATCTTCAACTTAAGAATAGGGGTAGCTTTTCGGTCTTCCAACCCAAACCTCAGCTTTTCAAAAAAAGAGGACATATCACTTGATGTTACACTGGGTATGGCTGAGGCCAAAATGGGAATGGAGTGAGCAAGCTAGCAAGCACACACAGATTGACACCATCATATGTCATGTATGTTTTCCTTCTTTTTTCCCAAGTACTTGCTGTGTGTCTAAGTCAGCACCTCTAAGACGTGCCTGATCGTGCAAAATGAGCCCGCCAAGTATGAGAGGCTTTCACAGGAAGATCATGTAACCATGACCAAATGTAATCAAATGAAACCACTTGCAGAGAGGAACAAGTCCAGAATCACACAATGACCGAGGAATATGAGCGACAGCGATAGACAGAAATCCAAATTGCAAAACCACGCTGTAGTCCAGATAGTCATGTACCAAGCAGAGAGCACAATGCACCAAGATACCATCCCAGTAAGAGCAATACAATAAACCCAGATGCCAATGTGGACGCTCTCTGGCCACACCAACATAGTATCCAGACTGGCGCTCAGCGCCCAGCCTACACTACTCAGCCTATCTAGCCTATCTACGTTCATGCAATAGGAGTCACTTCGAAACTGAAGACCAATGTATGTGACAACGTCGCCAATACAGACTGCCGCCATACACCAGGTACATGTCTCTCTCCTCCTCTCATCACCCCCTGTCTCCCCACAGCATGCGCCTCCTACCCGAAGACCGCCATCGCCATCACCTGCCCGCGCCCCAGCAGCCCGGCTATGGACGCCGTGCGCCCGCTGCCACCACAGCGCCCCACTCTCACCTCGCAGTGCCCATGCGCGCTCTGGCCACCAGCGCTAGCTCAGCTGCTCGTGCGACAAAGCAGCAGCGTGGCCGCAATGCCTTCACAGGCCACAATGTCCTCTGGCTGGGCAGGGCACTTTTCTATATGGAAAGTGCAGCCCTTTATCTGGCTGCTTGGGCCTGGTGTGCAAGTGCCCGGTAGCTTCACCTTGGGCCAAAGTGTCTGCGTCCAGCCCATTCAGACAGTTCAGGATGCGCCCAACCACCCCTGGAGTCTGTGACGTGTTCCCTGCTTTCTGATAGGCCGAGAGGAACCTGGAAGCTTTCTTCGAAGATTCCGATTCTCACGAGCAGGGACTCTGTGAAAAACTGGAGCGTGGCAACTGTCTGGCGCCCAAAAATGCACAAATGGCAACATGGAGGCCCCTTGCCGAATTCAGGCCTGCCTTCACTTAGGGCGGGCACCATACTTGATGGGGGGGGGGAGCGTATGCTGCCTTCACTTAGGGCGCAGCAAAGCGACCAATGTGAGGGGCCCGTCCTCGCAAAACAATTTTATTATTATTATTATTATTATTATTATTATTATTATTATTATTATTATTAACTTTGGATCACCAGCTACTTAATTAATTGATTGATCACTGGATAGAAAAGAAAAAAAAAGACTCCCTCTCTCTCTCTCTCTCTCTCTCTCTCTCTCTCTCTCTCTCTCTCTCTCTCTCTCTCCCTCAAAAACACACACACACACACACATACTAAAAAGGTTTTAGGAAAAAGAAAGGAGAAAGGGAAAAGGAAAGGAAAAAAAATAGTGAGTGGGCGAGCACATTTTTCACATCACCATCTTTGGCGATTCTTCTTTTTTTTTTTGTGATCATCCAAATGCCCTGAAAATATATAGGCATGTACCTTACATGCTACAGAACGCAGCAAAAAACAAATTGAATATATAGTCCTACAGTAGGCAGAGAGGGAGAAGAGGGTAACTAATATAATATATATATATGCAAGGAATATGAGCAGGAGCGATACACAGAAAACCAAGTTGCAAGATCACGAAGTCGTCCAGATACTCATGTACCAAGCAGAGAGCATAATGCACCAAGATTCCATCCAAATAAGAGCAATACGATGAACTTGAGTGTCAATGCCGACTGTCCCTCATCAAACCAACACTGTATCCAAGGTCGCTCCTACTGTCTGGTGCCTAGCACCCAGCCTACTCTACTCAACCTATCTACCTATCTACCTATCTACATTCTTGCAACAGGATGAAATCGAAGTCGAAGACCAATGTAAGTGACATCAACACCAATGCCGACCAGCATACACCAGGTACGTTCTCTCTCTCTCCTCATCACCCCTCTTCTCCCACCTCATGCCCCTCCTACCCGAAGACCACCTTCGCCATTACCCGCCTGCGCCCCAGCTGCCCAGCTATGGCTGCTGTGGGCCCGCTGCTCCAGCAGCGCCCTCTACCACCTCTGAGCCCGTGCGTGCCTCCGACCCGCAGCGCCCATGCAGACAGCGCAGCAGCATGTCCGTATTGCCTGGGAAGGCCAGAATGCCTATCCCAGGGGCGCACACTTCCCTTTATCAAAAGTGTGTTGCTGCTGACTGTCCTGGCCAGGCGTGTGGGGGGCCCCGTAGCTTCAGTTGGGTCCCAGGTGTCTGCACCCAGGCCCAGTTGCCGAAACTGGACTGGGCCTCGTGCACCTCATAGGCCCGTAACCAATCCATGATGTGCCGGCCTCACACAGCGTGTGCCCAGGGCGCAACCACCTGAGCCCAGGGCTCAACTGTACAGCGCAGCCCTTTGCTTCTGGAAAAAGCCTGTAGGCTCACGTTGCTCTGTAACCAACCGGTATGCTGCAACTTTCTGAGTACCCACATATGGAAAATTGCCGAAGACAGGCCTCACATGGATCTTCAGGCCCTCCTTCACTTAGGGCAGGTACGAGGCTTGCTGGGGCCACAGCCCAGAACACTTGTATGTCTGATAAGGGTTCCACGAGTCTCATTCCTCGCCTGATGAGTCGGTGAAACTCCAGCGGAAAAGTTTGTCACAGCCCCTCGTTTCTTGCCCTCTTCTCCCTCTCTGCCTACGGTTTACCGGGCAGCTCTGTTTGACGATATCTATATATTTGCCCTCTGATATTCTTGTGACAAAATATATACACATATAGTCAATATACATATATATATACAGGGTTGTCAGGCCGAACGTACGGAGGCCCCTAAGCTGACCCCCGTACGTCCCGGCGTTCAGGTCCCCGTACGGGGCCCGAACCTGAAGGGGTTCGGACCCAGCAAAAAAATATTTTGGCACCTAAATATTATCATTTTTTTCTGAGTTTTGTTTTGTGAGTTCTTTGTCATGTAAGGTATCTCCCACTTAATTTTAAAACCATTCTGTTCAGCCAAAAAAAAATGAAAAATCGGCTTAGATGGTGGTGTCAAAACTTGCTTGCCCACTCACTAATTTGTTTTTTCTCTCTTTTCACTTTTTGTTTTTCCTTTATTTTGGGGCATGAAAACAATTATTATTTTTTTTAACTATATTTGTAGATTATCTATTATGTAAGATACACATATATAAATTTTCATGGCATTTGTCACAGCCAAAAAAAAAAGAAAAATCGCCAAAGATGGCAGTGTCAAAAACGTGCTCGCCCACTCAATAATTTCATTCTCGTTTTATTTTTTCTAATTTTCATTATTATTATTTATTTTTACTATTTTTACAGGGTTGCCGGCGTTCGGGACAGGCCGAACGCCTGAACCCGAACGCCGCCCGAACCCGAACGCCCGAACATACGGGACCCCTTCGGAAGGCGTTCGGCCGTTCAGGCCGAACGCGGACCAAAAAAAAAAAACAAACAGTTTTCAAAAAAATCCGAAAAAAAAATGTGTTATGGAGAAAAATAAACTAAACAACATTTGCCTGGGCACTACATCCAAGTTCTTTACCAAATTTGAATTAAAAATCAAATACAGAAAATAAACACTATGATAAAAATAAGAAAAAATAAAAAGAGAATTAAAACGAGTGAGTGTGCCAGCACCTTTTCGACACCGCCATCTTTGCCGATTTTTAATTATTTTTTGGCATTGACAAATGCC